ATGAATTTATTGTGGCCCAAGGAGCAGCCAGCACCGCATCCACCGCATCCACATCCAAGTCGCCCCTCATCCTCCCCTTTAAAGTTGCGGGTAAGTGATATGGCAACTTGGCATTCTTTTGTCCCAGCCAGAGTTCCCATTTGGCCAAAAGCATCAGCAAAGTGACACTCTCGTCGAGATTATCTGGGCGAGTCTTGGAAAGTTGGGGTCTTCTTCGGCTGCAAGTGGAACTCCCCAGAAATTCAAGTTGAAAGTAAATTAGCGAAAGCCCGCGTCAAAATTAGAATTAAAAGCTAAGGCGAAAAGTTTGCCCAAGCAGAAAAGGAAACACCAAATTAGCTCCAGAAAATCTAATTATTCCAGAGTTCTGTATGTTTGCTATTTGAGTGGAGTGCCTGCGAGGACTTTCCCAGTTTTAAGATAAACTAGGAAAATTGAGGTGATTGCGCTTGGCGAAACTAAGGAAAGCTTTTATTTCAGATTAAATTAAACGTTATAACTTCTATTTCATCATCTTTACTTGTACTTTACATATGTACATATGTGTATTTTTGAAGCGCTCAAGGTTTTCGAATATTCCCTAGGGTTTCTTCTGTTTGCCGTGCCATTCAAACGGTTGGGCTGTGTGAATAATTTGTATTCACACTCAAACGAAGTAACCACAATGCTGTCCGCCACTCGGCGATACTTGAGGCACTTTTGAAGTAGTTGCAGCTCTTCAGGGCCTTAACTAAATACCACATTGCTGTTGATTTTTTCCCCTGCTTGAATATCGCTCTTTATGAGCTGGAAATCTGCGCTGAGCGGTGGTGCAGCGAAATTAATTAAAAACGCCCACATCTTGGCGATAAATCAGACGACGGCGGCGGCAACCAGAACCGCAGAATACCGCTCACACACACCCGCACACACACACACACTCCTGTGGCATTCGACCCCCGACCACGCCCCCTTGGTCAGCGAGACCTGGCCGCGTGTTTGCTTAAGTGCCACTAATAACCCATTGTTGGCTTTTGTCCTTGTCGCCGCTGTTTTCGCTGTTCGCTGCTCGCCGCTCGTTGTTGTTATTGCAGCTGCTGCTGCTGCCCTGCCACGCCCCTGCTCCCGCCGCCCCCTTTCTCACCGCAACAATCGAACGTTGCGAAACCGAAAGAAATTGCATGTTTTACAGGGAAGGAGGTAAAAAAACATCGTCCTCAAACCGAAGAACTTTCAAAAACAAAAGTTTTCCAGTCGCAAACAGCTTATGAATGCGTCTGTATGTGTGTGTGCAGCTGGGTGTGTGTGTGTTTGTGTTTTGCCGGATTTTGAGCGCTTAACATTTCAGATTTATTTGTGTTTCAGTTTGGCTTTTCGTATTTTTAATGTTTTTTCTTTTGGCGGAATGTCCAATGCACAGTGAGAAACAATAGGTACATACGAAAATCAAAGCACTAAGTACTACTACTTTTATTTGTAAATATTTACAAATGCAAGCATGTATTTATGGTATGTACATATGTCAATGGCGAACGCGTTCCCATTTCTCTCAGTGCAGCGCGAGCGCAACCCAAGGGGAATGCGAAATGTGTTTTAAATTAAAGACACAACTTTGGCTGAAATATTTTCGATTTATGCAGATTCCCCCAAAAGCTGACGGCGAACCAGACAAGCCGAGTGTAATAAATAGTTGGCGCCAAGTGGCAATTTAAAGGGCAGCCGAACTTCTGGCCCAGTTCCTTAAACTTTAAAACATGTGCGGCTGGGCTTCGTTTAAATCAGTGCCGTGGGCCCTCAAATCGATTGTCATGCTAAATGGGTTATTCGGTTGGTTATTGTTTTTACTTGTTCCGAGAATTATGCACATCCACTTTTTCCGCGGAATTCATAAAAGGCGCGAAAATGTAGTGCTTGTCTGCTCATAAGTTGAGACAGAAGCTTGCTGGCCTGAGTGAGAAGGCGATAGTCAGTGTTGCAGAGCGGAAATAGGTACTTGTAGCTGTCCTTGTCTGCCAAGCTCTATTTCTTATTGGAACGCACAAAAATACTGAAGTTTCCAATATGCAAAGCAAAAGTTGAGCTGGCAAATAGAAATTTGGAGTTATTTTCAGAATCCACTGTTTGTTTTCCAGTGCACCATCCATTACCCTATGATTGAATTGAAGCCACACTGAAGCTGACCATTACAAGAAGTCCCATTCGATCTGGCGGCTTGTGCAAATGTAGTGCTAATAGCGCTTTTGGCCTGTTAGCGTCGCGAATAATGTGACAACTCTATATTGGGCCTGCTGGCTGGTGGCTCTCTGCAGCGCCCAGGGAGGTCTGCAGCTCTGCTTTTAACTTGGCCAAGAGCGGCGATAAATACTCGAGTGTAAATGGATATGGCCGGAGGAGTCGGAGGAGTCGGCGGGTCGCAAGGGGCTTTCTTCAGCCAAGCAATGAACTAATAAGGCAGAGAGAGCGAACTGGGGGGCAGTGGAGGTGGTGTATAACGCCGACGCTTTATTAGCCAGACTTTCTTGCTCTGCCATCTTCTGCTACCTCATATTATGGCCGTAGGAGCGCGCGCCGCAAATGCGTTGCCATAAATTTAAAGCTTTGCCAGGAGGCGACTGTGCGGGAATAATGCCTATAAAGACATTTACCGGCAGCGGCGACGGCGACGGCGGCTCCGCTAATGAAGATCAACGATTCGCGGCTGAGATTCGGACTGCAGGTGGGTGGGTCCGCCCACCGCTGCCCCCTCCCCCGCCTCACGCCACGAAGAGCGCATTTCTATGCACATCGCGCGAATATTTCATAAATTTCATTCAATTTTTATTAAGCGCAAGAAATATGAGCGGCTGTGGGCGGAGCTCCATTGGGCCACCATTGGGATGTGGCCGAACAGAAAAAAGGACGCAGCAAATCCTGCACCGGAAATCCTCTCATTACGCCAGACTTGTAATTAATCTTTGGAAAATTAAAAGAAAAGCGGCCCACAAGGGCGGTAGAAACTTTTGGGCCCATCGGGCGGGTTTGGTTTCGTGTACACCTGTTACACTCAGCTTTTCTGGCCGGGAACCGGGATCTGGGATCCGGGATCCGGGATCCCGATCCGGTTTAGGGTCCGGTTAAAAGGGACTTGGCTTAGGATGTCTGCGATGTGCTGGGCTCGGTAAATATTTGCAAATGAGTTTGGAATTAAGCCGGTTTACTGATTTTCGGCCTATCTTCTCCGCTTTCGGATTGTCTAATTAATTCTTGGCCCTCTTTTGCTGGTAGTTAAACAAATTTCCGGGAAGAGTCAACATTCGCTTTAAAATATATACAATCACCTTTCCTATTTGCCCCATTGATTCCATAGAAAGTGAATCGTCCTGAATCGGCGCCGTTGCAAGGGATTTTAAGTGGTTTTGTTTGCTAAGGGTATCTGAAGTTCGTCTTGGTGAGAACAGTGTTCCCTCCATTTGTTATTTATGAGCGGCCGGAGGCATTTGCCGGCTGACATCCTCGCAAATGGACAACAAATCCAGTGGACAGGCCAGCAGAAGCTGGCTGCCGCACAGATTGAATGGCCAGAAAGGAAGGGAACACATAAATTTTTATAATTTTCCTCCTTTTTCCGATGGCCGCCTGGCGTGTCAGCTCAGCTAAGCCGAGTCGTGGAGCCGGCTCCCAGACCAGCAGCTGTGTCTTTGGTTTCCTTTCCCAGCGCCTTGTTTTCCTTTTTCCGATTTGATTTTTTGCCTATTTTTAAAGTCTTTTTCTGACGCCTAAGCCAGGAGCGCGGGCGACACTTGAGTGACGCCTTGACTGGCGCCATCTAGCGGCTGCCGGCTGCGCGTGCATAACTTGCGTTTCATTATAATGAGATTATCCCTTTTGCTTGTACAGTGTTACTGCCTCAGTAGCTATCTGCCTCCTGGGAGGATGGGGGGGGAGTGGGTGTGGCAGTGGGAGTGGCACATTTCCATCTTTGGCTCAGAACTGCAACAGCTGCTTGTGTTTTCTTATTTAAATTATTTCTTTCCCTTTTGACGGCTCTTGTTATTCCCATTCGCATTCGCGTCCTGTTTCACGCTCCTTGGCCACTGCAGGATGACGGGATTATTTGGCCTGGGACTTGGGTCTTGTTTAACTCGGGCAAATAGCTTTTCCGTGGCCAACTAATTGGAATTGGGCGGGATGAAAGCGAAGTGCCGTCACTTTGAAAAATGTCCTTTAAAACTGCAGTCAAAACAACTTGTTTCGATTGACAGCAGGCACAAGGATCAGGGGCTTAACTTAAGTTGCAAATGGATAATGAATGAGTTGCAACAGTCGCTTAGAACAGTGCTAGCTGCATACTTTTGACCAAGTTAATAGTCATCGATGTGGAAATTCGTTCTTCAGAGCTGCGCTTTCCCTTACCACCAGCATAACCAGTCGCACATATTTGGCATCCCATCCCACCTTAATTTAATTGGGATTCAGGCAGCCAGTGGGACCACCTCCAAAGTAAATTTCCGAAAAGCATTTACCATGTTCGAATTATGCAAAAAGATGTTGGGCACGATGTAAAAACGCAAGCGACACGAGCGCGTTGTACATACATTAGTCAATTTATTTATGTTATTTCCCTCAATCATTCGGCATATTTAAATTGATTGGGTCACGCCAAGGCCAAGCCCCACAGCCAAATGGCTCCAAGCCCAAAAGCTAATGTTGGAAAACCAATTAGAGCCCAAACAACAATAACGACCAAAATAACATCACAACATCAGCTAACAAGATCAAATCGTGTAATGTGGCTCATTACAACATCGTTTTGTACACACATTTCTGTGTGTGGCCCAAAAAAAGGTGTGAACTTGTGGGCATTCAGTGAGCTTAAAGAGTTCACGCAAAAATGGGCTTAAATGTTGGCATTAGTTATGGGAACAAGCCATCGGCTGAATTTGATTATAAACGCTATGGGAAGTCTGCGTTTCTCTGCTGGGATTGAATAATAGCTACTTATCTGAAAGTTTATGGTATATATATTATACAAAACGCAGGAGTTGCATAATGCAGTTTATTGCCAGCTGGAATTTGTCATACATTTTCTCAATCATTGCTTTACCATAGAGTTCAAACTGATCACTAACACTAAGGCTTGTCGTCGGACGGCTGCTGGTGCCTCTTGTTCTGCGGATCGTAGTTGAGGACGTCGAAGGTCAGGATCTTGTAGAAGGACACCGACCAGCCCACGTCGTCCATGCGATGCAGGATCCTTCCCGTTTGGGGCAGAGCCGCCGTGGTCTGACTCTGGGCGGACTTCATGGGATCTATGGCCGACTGAATGAAGGGTGTCTGCAGTGGCTTGGCACTGCCAACTGGCTCTGGAGCTGTGGGTGCAGTGAAGGAGGGGTAGCCACTCAAGTTGACCCCCTTTCTTGTGTCAGCCGTGTAGTCCCTTCTGAAACGGATGAAGATCTCGGCGAATACGATTCGATGCGGAACAGATACGACTTCTGGCGGCGTCTTCAGCTCGTTGTCCATACGGCGGATGATCTCACTGACCTCCACCACCTCGGTGGCCGTGTCGAAGTCCTTGGTGTTCCGCAGGCCCACAAAGAGCATGTCGATAAAGGCGTACTTCCTGCCGAAGTTCTGTCGCGTGGCCACCTTCATGGGAATCGCTCGGCGCAGGTGCTCCCGCTCGAACCTGACCAGCTGGAGCCGCGTGTCGTTCCGGGAGAGGAGCATGTCCCGGGTGATCTGCTGGAACCCCACCGGAGTCGTAAACTCGCTGATCTTATCGGCGCTCTGCTGCCGGATGATGTCCGTCATGACGATCGCCGCCTGCTTGGCGCCCTCCAAGAAGTCCGGCTCGCTGAAGTCCCGATCCCAGAGCCACTTGAGCTTCCACAGATTGAACTTGGTCACCAGATACTTCCACGGGTTGTGCAGATACACCAGTTTCGGAATGATCTTGCGCCGCTCGTGGTGCGCCGCACTGCGCCGGTTCCAGTCGTGTACTCCGCGGCGGATCAGCTGCTGATCGCATCCCAACCCGCATCCGCATCCGCATCCCGACTGCCGAGGACAGCTCGGATTGCTGGGACTTCGCGGATGGGTGCTATGCGGATGGTGATTGCCGAACAAGTTCAGTGTGCCATATTTACGTAGAATTTTTGATAGCATCGCGACTCCTAGAGTGGGCCACTTTGCATTTTTGTCTCGAACCTTGTTGTCTGTGCCCTGGAGAAAAGAAGTTGTGTTTTTGTAGTATTCCTAATTTTGAGCCAGTCAGTCACTAGTAACTGACAGCACCGAAACTCGAAAGCATACTACATTTAATAGCCAAAAAAGCACAAGACCAATTGTAACTCCACATATTTCGCTTTTTAAAGTAACATTTGAAGATGAGATTATTTATCAGCGACCATTTCCAATACACATCTCTCTTCAATACTGCCTGTTTCACTCGAATTTGGATGCGGTTCATGTGGGAATCTCCCAGCCGAACCCCGACCCACGCCAATCTCTGGCTCCCAGGTAGCACCGGACCAAAATGACAGGCCAAGATCGTAAAGCATTATTCCGCCGATACATAAATTATGTTCCGAGGTGCGTGAGTGTGTGAGGGCCGTGTGGGCTTCTTCTTTTGGCTTTCCTCCGGCGACAAGTGGCCCTTGGTCAGGGATTTCCATGGGCGACGCTGGCGGAGATGGGGGAAACTCTGCCCCTGGGTCGCACGCAAATGACATAAAAATTAACAATGAGTATGGCAAGAAATGAAAAGCTTTCAATGCAATTGTTGCGCTCGACGGGCAGATGCGTATTTAAATGGCGCAGCGAATTTAATTATGTGTAAACTTATTTGATGGAGAATTAAACAGTAGTTAAATCACTTGGTGGGAACGGCACTGAACAGCCGATGAAAATGTTGGTAGTATGCTTAATTGCAGCAAATGGAACATGGCAAACACCTTGCTCAGTAGCCACTGTCTCATTTAAAGTTGGATACTTTAAATCCGCCATTTGAAACTAACTTTTATGGCTGGCTGCTCAATGGCTTCTCGTATGCCCTCCGCATAGAGAAAAGAAGGCGGGCTGACTTGGGCATACAAAGTACCCCACTCCCTAGGCTCCCCAACTATTCTAACGTTTTGGGTTTATCAATTCGATGTTCAGGTGGGGATGGAGGGGGTACTGCTCCAAGTTGACACAAAATGCGTGGTCGTCAGCGTCAATCGCATGACATCGCAAGAAATGCTCCCCAGGTGGAGGGACAAGGCGGGAGGGTGTGGGGGAGATAAGTATCTTTTGTGGACAGCCGCAGTGCAGCGGCAGCGGCAGCGGCAGCAGCAACAAAAGATAAAAAGATGCAGCAGCGGGGAAATTCGAATTCAAATTCGAATGCAAACGAAAATAAGTAATTCATTTCGCTGCGGTTTTCCGAAGAGAGCGAGACGGCGTCGTTTATCTTGCTGCTCATTAAATCATTCAGCTGTCAATCAATTTCGATGCGGTTGTCTTGGCTCTGAAAACGCATTCCAGCCTTGTTTTTCTGCATTGCTGAGGTGGTCAGCCAACCGCAGACTCGTGGATAATTATGCTGCCAACTGTAATGAGTTCGAACGGTTCTACTCTGCTGGCCCATTAGAAGTTGTAGAATTCAATTCATGATTGATTGGTGGGATTACTGGCGCGCAGTGTCACAGACTCCTGAATATGCATTTGTATCTTGCAGATACATGCCGCACTCGACGATCGACAGCGTTTTAAATTTCGCTCCAAGTGGAAGTCGTTGAGCTCGCACAAAGACCCCCATTTCCACATATCGTTAGCATAAGCGCTAGTATCTCATGTGGATTTCCATATCTTTCGGTTCGGCTCGCCTGTCGTCGTACCTGTCAGTCCATTCAGGTTAAATCAATCATACACAAAGACTTCGGAACGGAGACCTGTCAACACGGTTCATTGTTCGCCGCAGAGCGGCATTTAATGAAAAAGCGAACGCGAACCCGATCTCGAACTCAAACTCAAACTCGAACTCAAATTTGAACTGAAACTGGAACCCCTGATGCATTATAGTGCAATATATGCCATCCCATCGGTGCCCATTCCATCCATACATAGATATGGATTGTAAATTTATGCGCGTATCTCACAGATAGTTCGTGCAGTTATTTGCATTTTCCTCCGCGGCCACGCGGCTCTAACTTTTGTCTGGGTATACATGTTTTCCCCATACGGGTGGTCATTTAGCATATTTTGATATTGAGATTTATTGACAAGATTGGAACGTGGCTGCGGCTTTGTCGGCACCAAAGCGGAAATGTTTCCGCCCCCGCCGCCACAATTATGTCAAAACGGGGTACCTACTCCAAATTAATTGAGTTCGTAGCCCGAAATTCGTATCGAGTTTCACACTGGGCGCCCTTTAGGCAGCTTGACCACAGAGTAAAGTGAAAAACCAGCAGAATTCAAAACTTAGAGCGTGCCACTGGAACAATGCCAAGTCCAGATCAACTGGATTTAGTGGATAGTTGAGTGGAAAACACTGAGGGAAACCACTTAAAAAGTGGGATTCATTAAACTTAAGCGTGATAGTGAACCAGAAAATCAAGGAACCATGACGAAGGATTTTTAAGACTGAGTCCTAGCATAGTTTCAATAGGTATTCCTCATTTTTCCTAGCAATATCTTTTGCCAAGCCTTTAGCTAATTGAACAAAGAGAACTAGTTTTTCCTCGTGCAGAAATAGAAATGTATATGCTTTGAAACCTTGCAAAGTGCGCGGAATGTGGTCGCGTCATTGAAATGCGATACGAGACCTCCGACTTCAGAGATCGTGAGGAATTGGCCATGAATTCCATGTACACTTCTAGGGTTTCCAAGCTGTCACTGCGGTGGGTACTTCTCCACTGGATTCGCACATTTCGAGGTAGTTGCTGCAATTTGTCTGGCAAATCGATCGCCACTGCGGTGAATGCGGAAATAGCGAATCCAATCCGCTGGCCGATCAGGTTGAGGTCAGGTCTTTTCCTTCTCCCACTCCCACTCCCACTGCCACTCCAACTCCGCGATCGCTGGGTAATCGAATACTTTCACGTATTCGAGATCCTTTGTGCAGTGAGTCATTTAAAATCCTCCAACTCTTCTAATGTGTCTTCGGGGCGACACCTGAGAGACCAATCACGTGATCGGCCTGCCTTATGGCCACTTAAACTGGAGTTTATGGGGGATTCTCTGGGGCAGGGGACAACCTGTCAATGGCTGACACTTCACTTGTCGCCTGGCCTGATATGTGGGTCCGATGTGATGGAACTGTCGCCGTCTTCCAAGAACTGTCTCCGTACTTTGCACCCCACCAGAGATCCCCACCCATTGCCATCCCAGGCGATCCGATTGAAAACTGGGCGATTCGATTTATTTATGGCCCGGACTGCTGCGCTTTTCCGATTCAGTTTGCGTGCCAGTCATTTAATGCTCCCGAAAACAAATGCGGGAAATCCCAAACTATAAACAGCGAACGTAAAATGCTCTTTAAATAAATATTTGGGTTTTACTTGCATCAATCCATACAGCAACGCAAAAATAACACATTTCTTGGAGCTCTATCATAATAACTTGGCCAGAAAGCGGCCACCAGCCAAATGAATAACTGTTTTGCACAACTGCTGATCCACACTAACAATTTGTATCAAATTCTGGCTGAATTTCAAGAAAAAAAATTTTGGCCATTTTTCGCATTTTTTGTAAGGGGTAACATCATTAAAATTTGCAAAAAATCGAAAAAAAATAAAAAATTTAAATTTGAATGCCAATCAATTGGAAATGTGTTTACGAGTTCAAAAAGGTACAACATTCATGATTTCGACCATTATATCGATTGTTTTGGCTAAAATACTGATTTTTTGGTCGAAGAATAGGAGACTTTTCTTCATATCTCGGCCAAAAAGTGTCACAAACCTCAAGTTACGACTTTTTTCCATAGCTAATGATCCAAACTAACGACCCATATCAAAATCCTGCAAGTTCTACAAAATTCGATTTTTGGTCAATTTTCGCTTTTTTTGTAAGGGGTAACATCATTAAAATTTGCAAAAAATCGAAAAAAATAAGAAATTTAAATTTGAATGCCAATCGATTGGGAATGTTTTTACGAGTTCAAAAATGTACAACATTCATGATTTCGACCATTTTATCGCTTGTTTTGGCTAAAATACTGATTTTTTGGTCGAAGAATAGGACCCTTTTCTTCATATCTCGGCCAAAAAATGTCACAAACCTCAAGTTACGACTTTTTTCCATAGCTAATGATCCAAACTAACGACCCATATCAAAATCCTGAAAGTTCTAAAAAATTCGATTTTTGGTCAATTTTCGCATTTTTTGTAAGGGGTAACATCATTAAAATATGCAAAAAATCGAAAAAAAATAAGAAATTTAAATTTTAATGCCAATCGATTGGGAATGTTTTTACGAGTTCAAAAAGGTACAACATTCATGATTTCGACCATTATATCGATTGTTTTGGCTAAAATACTGATTTTTTGGTCGAAGAATAGGAGACTTTTCTTCATATCTCGGCCAAAAAGTGTCACAAACCTCAAGTTACGACTTTTTTCCATAGCTAATGATCCAAACTAACGACCCATATCAAAATCCTGCAAGTTCTACAAAATTCGATTTTTGGTCAATTTTCGCTTTTTTTGTAAGGGGTAACATCATTAAAATTTGCAAAAAATCGAAAAAAAATAAGAAATTTAAATTTGAATGCCAATCGATTGGGAATGTTTTTACGAGTTCAAAAATGTACAACATTCATGATTTCGACCATTTTATCGCTTGTTTTGGCTAAAATACTGATTTTTTGGTCGAAGAATAGGACCCTTTTCTTCATATCTCGGCCAAAAAATGTCACAAACCTCAAGTTACAACTTTTTTATATAGCTAATGATCCAAACTAACGGCCCATATCAAAATCCTGCAAGTTCTACAAAATTCGATTTTTGGTAAATTTTCGCATTTTTTGTAAGGGGTAACATCATTAAAATTTGCAAAAAATCGAAAAAAAATAAGAAATTTAAATTTGAATGCCAATCGATTGGAAATGTTTTTACGAGTTCAAAAAGGTACAACATTCATGATTCCGACCATTATATCGCTTGTTTTGGCTAAAATACTGATTTTTTGGTCGAAGAATAGGAGACTTTTCTCCATATCTCGGCCAAAAAGTGTCACAAACCTCAAGTTACGACTTTTTCGCACAGCTAACGATCAAAACTAACGACCCATATCAAAATCCTGCAAGTTCTACAAAATTCGATTTTTGATCAATTTTCGCATTTTT